ATTTGTAATCCAACTATTGGCTCTTTCTCTATCTCTCTTTGATTGTATCTAGAATCATCAATGTCATTGATCACATTCCCAAATCATCCTCTGTTTCTTTGATCACATTCCCAAATCATCCTCTCTTTGATTCCATGCCCATTTCAAGAATTTTTCTTGTCAGCATATCCAAAGCTATACTGCTATCACCTGTACACATTCCATGTCTCGTGTCTCATTTCAAGAACAACCCAACACACAAATAGCACCCGTACAAGTTTTTTTTCTGGGATAATTTTTTCTCCCTTTATTTTCCTTAGGGAAATGGAGTTTTACAATCAATTGCTTCAATCTTGGTTTGATTTATTAATAGGACATGTCTATATTGATTATATGTCCCAGATAGAACAACACAGCATGAAGTCCAAAGATTATTAAAAATTCTAAAAGAAAATGAAACAACAATAGAGAAACTGATTTAGATTAAGTTTATACAAAAAGTGATTGCATAACTGATTATTACAATATATATGAATAGATAAGCTTTTTTAAAGTGAAATTGTACAAACAAATTTTGTAAAATCTTATTCATTCATATAATTTGTGTTCAGTTCTGTATTAATTTCTATAATTTAATTACTTACAGCAAGTGAGTAGAAAAGAATGATCAAGAAGGCAACATTGAATATATTAAAAATGCAAAGAAACCAAAAACAGTTCTAAATGAAAAGAACAAATTGTAGTTGCATGTGTCCTTATTATGTAGAAGAACAAATAAATGATGAATTACAACAAGAACAAACTCATGACAATAAATCAAATGTAAATAGAAACTTCACCTATAATATATATTAATCTAACCTTGCCATGGTGTTTGATTTTGGTTCTGCTGATCATATGAAGATGATGGTGAGTTCATATGATCAAGCCCAGCCCTGTTTGGAAACCCCCTATGAGAGATTGTTCTAAGACGTAAGAAATCCCTAGTCAACCCATCATTGCCACCTCCACCACCGCCGCCTTCATTACTTCCCCTCATTGCCATCCCTTTGGCATTACATGGTCTAATTTATTTTTTTTTATCAAACAAGTGGAGAGAGAGAGAGAGATAGCTTAATCCTCCAAGGTGACCATAAGGGACGAAAGAGCAACAAAAAGCACAACAAAAGATAATGACCTTCAATAAACCCCTCCCACTTCCAACTTAGTTACTCCCACTCTTCCTAGCAGGATTAGCAACCATCCTTGGCTTCTTTTTCTTTTTCTTTCTTTCTTTCTTTTTTTTTCTTTTTTTTTTTTTTTTTGCTTCAATAGAAGGTAAGTAACAATGATAAACACAAGCAAATTAATAAAGAAAATATAAAAAAATAAAAAATCATATGGATTGAAATAGAGTGATGATAGGATTACCTCCAACATTCATGCCAAATAACACATCTGATCACATATCGAACTAGCAAATACACACATCTTGATTTTCCATTAAATAATTAAAAAAAAATGTCAAAATTACTTGATTCGAGAAAAACCTATTTTCATTCAAAACCCTCAAACTTGGAAGACACTAAATTATTAATTTACTTCTTATTTTTCTTTTTCTTTTCTTCCCCCCCATTCTCCCCCCCCCCTTTCTTTGTTGTTTATTGCTTTTTCTACAAGAGCATGGAGATACATGAAACAGAAAAATGCCTTTAAAAAATTATTTTTCTTCTGTTTTTGGGGTCTTTGATTTATTGATTCATTTCAAACTAGAGTTTATATGGGTTTATGTGTGGTATGTATGGTCATGCTACTACACCCCTTTTGAGATGTGTACCATATGCAAATTATAACATTTGGCCTAATTTCCAAAGGATTTACACTCTAATATGTATCCTAATTAATATGCTATATACTTATTATAGTTCTACAAACCCTCATGTGTAATTGTAATTATTTTACATTTTTCCATCACTAATGATGCCCTTTCATATATGCTATTTTCCCACCACCTCATTAACTCTTTTACAAATAACAACTTCATTTTGGAAATTTTAAAGTTTTGGCATGTTGGTTTATGTCTTTTAATTTTTTCCTCTCTCCCTAAGTTTTGTGTTTTGGTTGAAATGCTTCATTTCTTATTTTTGGCAGGTAAAAGGAGAGCCCAATACCTCTTACATCTGTGGTTATATTTCAATCGATGGAGTACACTACGGCTATTGACTTCTGGTTTGCTGGTTGTGTTGTTGCTGAGCTACTTCTTGGACAGGTACATATTTTTTCCTACAAGGTCCTCTATGCTTCAATATATTTAAATTATATGGTATGCGTGAGGCCAAATTAAAAGCAAAATATTTATGATATAACTTGTACAGTCACACCCTCATTCATCACAGTTTTTGTATTAAAAAAAAACTAAGACTAAAAGTATAAGGTCAAAGTTAAAAATTGACCTTAACCAATTTTGTAGTAGTGCTCATATATTAGTATTATTTATTATGAATCTAAAGTATCAATGATAGAATAAATGTAAATAATAAAATCAAATGATAAGCATAGCATTAATACAAGAGAAGCTCTATTCACAACCCAAGATTCAATTGTGAGTGGTAGTGGGTTATAGCCGTATGCAAGGGTCCTTAGTGCATCAAATCTTTAGTTAGTGTATGTATATTACTGAATTCATCTGTATCAAATCATTCTCCCATTTTCTAATTTCTTGTATTTTGTATTCTAAAAACAAATTGCTTCCCTAAACATTTATAATTTTCAAGTGCTTTATGTGGTTCAAGCCATCCCCAAACCCATGCAGAGAATAAAAAAAAAAATTAGCAAGATAAAATATGGGAAAGTGAACCACAACATAGCTAAAACCAAAGCAAGTAAACCCAGTTAATAAAGATATTCAACCTTCTGACTGTACACCTAAAGTGAGACTTGAAGCAACAAAGGAGCTATACATAACCACGACATCGTTTTTTATTTTTTTTCTACAATAGTCCCAAAAATAAAATAAAAAACAATGTCGTTTTTATTATCAATTCGTGTGGTGCCAAAATATTTGGCTCCTTTTTGCGACAAAAAAATTTCCTTAGTAAATTACAAATTTTGTCCAAAAAAATTAACTTCTTTAGTCTGTTTTTTACGGTAATGTGACCTAAGCTACTAGGGTATCATTTTTTGTTTATGATTAGAATTTTTTTTAGTGTCTTTCCTTTTTACATTGGAAACACAGTCTTTGTTAGCTACATTATTATAAAACAAATCCATTCATGTGTGCATGTCGTGCATTTGATGAATGTACTGTAACCTTTAAGATTTTTGTTTATTTGTTTTCTTTCCTAATCAAAGATATTATGAGTTTATTTTTCTTGTCTTTCTTTACAAGGAATTTTGATTGAAGTCTAATGGATAAACCGACTGATCCTCCAAAGCACCTGATCACTCCATTCATTTTCTTTTGGTATTTCGTTAATATCTATTTGTATGTAGTTATATATTTTCCGTTATACGAATTCTTATATTCATTTTCATATGTTTATAGCCAAGAACAATCAATGGAGTTAAAAAAAACCCAAATGAAAGTAGACATGAAGGTAAGTGCAACGTATTCTTGTTGATTGTAGTATTCCTCTTGTACTTGTAAGCTTGTATGTAATTGTTCATATGATTTTATGCACGTAATGTAGGATATTGGGGACAAATGGAATCAACTTCCCGAAGAAGAAAAAAATAAGTATATACAAATGGGAAAGCTGCAATCTGAACGATATGCCGAATTAAAAACTGTGGTCCAACAAAAGCCTCCAAAAGTAAAAATTCAAACCCGGATTGAGCTTACATCGATTTGTAAGATTATTAGAAGGCTGGACAAAGCACAACAACAAGCAGTGACTAATATGGGGTTTCATGGCATCCTAAGCCTTAGGTGCACGCACATAGATCATGACTTGTGCCATTGGTTAGTTCAGAACTTTGATCCTTCAACTCATTCATTGAATGTCCATAGTCTTCGAATGCTTCTCACCGTAGAAGATGTTCATGAGTTGATGGGATTACCTTCCAATGGTCTACCTGTGAAGTTAATAGAGTCTGTAGATGAAATTACAAACCTTTGTGATGAACTTGCGGTGAAGAATAAATTTGTTCCGTTCACATCTCTGAAATCTTATCTGATTGAAACAAAAGATGCTGGAACTGAATTTAAAAGGGAATTTGTCTTATACATCATTGGAGCCCTCTTGTGCCCCACCACAAAGGCAGGCGTACACCAATCATTCATTCAAATGGTTAAAAATGTTGAGTCCATCAGTCAATTCAATTGGGCAAAGCACACACTTGATTTTCTTGTCGACCGCATTGCTATTGCCAAGGTCAAAGAGCGGTCTGCTATGTGCGGCTGTTTGCTTCTTCTAATGGTACCTCCCCTTGATGTGTAATTATTTCATCTATTATTTTTTATTGCATATTGTCTAACACACATTAAAATGACTTCTTTTTTTTTCCCATGTAGTTATTTTACTTGGAACAATTTGCTCGCAAAAGGGAGTTGGTGGCTACTTCCAACCCCATTCCTCGCTTATCCTATTGGGGCAATTCAGAAATTACGCAGGGTTTGAATCAAATTAAAGCTTTGGGAGGATATTTAAATGTTGAGGTAAATATTTACAACACACGACTTTTTATAATTATAGCTTAATTTACATTACACCTGTGACATTAACAAATTATTGTATATGTGTGAACAGGTGGTTTTGCCTAACATTGTTCAAAAGTCAAATGCAGTAACTCTTAACCAAGGAAGAATTGAAAACGATGATGACTCCCGATTGGCTAAAGTTGAGAAACAAGTCATTGAAATTCATGCCCTTTTGGTCCAAGGCCACAAGGACACAAGGCAAAATGAGGATGAGAAACGTCTAACCAAAGTGGAGAATCAAGTTGGAAAAATTCTTGAGCTGTTAGAAAAACACATGCCAATTGATGGAGAACAAGTTAAAACACCACCAAGCAAACTACTTGCGGAGCAATGACTGGTCAAAATGGAGAACCAAGTTGGTCAAATTCTTGAGTTGTTAGAACGACGCATTCCATTTGATGGTGGACATGTTAAAACACTACTAAGCAAACTACATGAGGAACATCGAATTGATATTGAAATGGTTGGTCTCGATGTTAGCGGTATCGAAAAGGTTGCAGCCAATTCCCCGAAGTTTGTAGATGAGGATGAGATAAGGAATATGAATGACAAAAAACCAATGGAAACTTTGCATTTGAGAAAAACAAAACCAATCCTCACACCACCAAATGCAAAGGCAGTTGCAAAGAAACGAGCCAAATTAGTTGGTGGGAAAGCATTAAATAATGAACAACTTTCTATTCCACAAAAGGGGAGATTGCGCGCAAAAAAGAGCGATACAAAGGCAGTCGAAATGAATGCTGTAACAATGTCATCATCATGTAGTGTTGTTCGTGGTCCTCAGACTCGAGGGACCCAGAATTGCAAAGCCAGTCAGTGGTTGCGTACACCTTTTGTGAAATTTGATGTAAAGAAGAAAAGACCACAGTTGAAGCCATCGTCAACTGACAACAACATTGACAATAATATTCATGACAATCTCGATGAAGTAAACTAAATGATTGTGTCTCAAAACATATTTGATATATGTGTAACAAATAGTGCTTGTTTCTTACTTTTCTTTTACTTGTATCAGCTATTTGATAATTTACTTGATCAACTTGGGGGTAATGTTGTTCCTGAAATCCCAAAGGTTTGGAACTAACTATTATAGTATCTTTTGTATATCTGGTTATTTTGCACTAACTCCATCTTTATGAACATACACTAACCAAGCTTGATTTGTTTTATGCACTATTCTTCTCAATACCTTTACAAGCCATCCGTGCCTTTGCCAGACCCATTAAATGACTATGACAGTCTCGTTCTACGATATGCATTTGATGAATCACTTTCAGAATGGTACAATTTGACTACCTTTAACTTGTTATGTATGAAGTACTATACCTTCTAACTCACATAGTTATCCATGTGCTAGGGAATATCTTGTACGGATGAAACTGCACTACGTGGAAGCACAATCTGCCACGCGAAAGGAATTGTGGTCCTTGAAACCATATCAGTGGATATCCTCATGTGTAAGACTTTTCTCCTTCTCCTATTTTATTTGCTACCATTCCATCATCCAAGTTACTTTACTTTGCCTATTCATAAATTTCATATATTTTGCACTGCAGATTATAAATCTCATTGTTGTGAAATTGACAAATAAACAAAGGAAAAAGTTTCCAAATAAGGATCACAAGGTTTGGTACTTTCCGACCCATGTATCGGTAAGTATTAGCCATACCTAAAGACTTTTTTTATTTAGGCACAAGTTATTTATATGTTAAAATTGAATATGCAGCAAAAGATTTTGTGTCAACCTTCTGATGCCTGGGTTTTTTTTTTTTTTTTTTTTTTTTTTCTTTTTTTTTTTTTTTTTTTGCTTCAATAGAAGGTAAGTAACAATGATAAACACAAGCAATGATAAACACAAGCAAATTAATAAAGAAAATATAAAAAAATAAAAAATCATCTAGATTGAAATAGAGTGATGATAGGATTACCTCCAACATTCATGTCAAATAACACATCTGATCACATATCGAACTAGCAAATACACACATCTTGATTTTCCATTAAATAATAAAAAAAATGTCAAAATTACTTGATTCGAGAAGAACCTATTTTCATTCAAAACCCTCAAACTTCAAAGACACTAAATTATTAATTTACTTCTTATTTTTCTTTTTCTTTTCTTCCCCCCCCCTTTCTTTGTTGTTTATTGCTTTTTCTACAAGAGCATGAAGATACATGAAACAGAAAATGCCTTTAAAAAATTATTGTTCTTCTGTTTTTGGGGTCTTTGATTTATTGATTCATTCCAAACTAGAGTTTATATGGGTTTATGTGTGGTATGTATGGTCATGCTACTACACCCCTTTTGAGATGTGTACCATATGCAAATTATAACATTTGGCCTAATTTCCAAAGGATTTACACTTTAACAAGTATCCTAATTAACATGCTATATACTTATTAGAGTTCTACAAACCCTCATGTGTAATTGTAATTATTTTACATTTTTCCATCACTAATGATGCCCTTTCATATATGCTATTTTCCCACCACCTCATTAACTCTTTTACAAATAACAACTTCATTTTGGAAATTTTAAAGTTTTGGCATGTTGGTTTATGTCTTTTAATTTTTTTCCCCTCTCCCTAAGTTTTGTGTTTTGGTTGAAATGCTTGATTTCTTATTTTTGGCAGGTAAAAGGAGAGCCCAATATCTCTTACATCTGTGCTTATATTTCGATCGACGGAGTACACTACAGCTATTGACTTCTGGTTTGCTGGTTGTGTTGTTGCTGAACTACTTCTTCGACAGGTACATATTTTTTCCTACAAGGTCCTCTATGCTTCAATATATTTAAATTATATGGTATGCGTGATGGTCAAATTAAAAAGCAAAATATTTATGATATAACTTGTACAGTCACACCCTCATTCATCACAGTTTTTGTATTAAAAAAAAACTAAGACTAAAAGTATAAGGTCAAAGTTAAAAATTTTGACCTTTAACCAATTTTGTAGTAGTGCTCATATATTAGTATTATTGTAGACGTCCCCGAACGCCCCGGGAGGGTGAGTCCTATTCTGTTCATTTGGGGTCACTACAGCTCGGACTCGATTTGTGTCACGGTTCTTAATCTTGAACCAAAGAGTCCAAATGATAGAATAAATGTAAATAATAAAATCAAATAATAAGCATAGCATTAATACAAGAGAAGCTCTATTCACAACCCAAGATTCAATTGTGAGTGGCAGTGGGTATAGTAGTATGCATGGGTCCCTAGTGCATCAAATCTTTAGTTAGTGTATGTATATTACTGAATTCAACTGTATCAAATCATTCTCCCATTTTCTAATTTCTTGTATTTTGTATTCCAAAAACAAATTGCTTCCCTAAACATTTATAATTTTCAAGTGCTTTATGTGGTTCAAGCCATCCCCAAACCCATGCAGAGAATAAAAAAAAAAAAATTAGCAAGATAAAATATGGGAAAGTGAACCACAACATAGCTAAAACCAAAGCAAGTAAAACCAGTTAATAAAGATATTCAACCTTCTGACTGTACACCTAAAGTGAGACTTAAAGCAACAAAGAAGCTATACATAACCACAACATCGTTTTTTATTTTTTTCTACAATAGTCCCAAAAATAAAATAAAAAACAATGTCGTTTTTATTATCAATTTGTATGGTGCCAAAATATTTGGCTCCTTTTTGCGACAAAAAAATTTCCTTACTAAATTACAAATTTTGTCCAAAAAAATTAACTTCTTTAGTCTGTTTTTTACAGTAATGTGACCTAAGCTACTAGGGTATCATTTTTTGTTTATGATTAGAATTTTTTTTAGTGTCTTTCCTTTTTACATTGGAAACACAGTCTTTGTTAACTACATTATTATAAAACAAATCCATTCATGTGTGCATGTCGTGCATTTGATGAATGTACTGTAACCTTTAAGATTTTTGTTTGTTTGTTTTTTTCCTAATCAAAGATATTATGAGTTTATTTTTCTTGTATTTCTTTACAAGGAATTCTGATTGAAGCCTGATGGAGAAACCGACTGATCCTCCAAAGCGCCCGATCACTCCATTCATTTTCTTTTGGTATTTCGTTAATATCTATTTGTATGTAGTTATATATTTTCCGTTATACGAATTCTTATATTCATTTTTATATGTTTATAGCCAAGAACAATCAATGGAGTTAAAAAAAACCCAAATGAAAGTAGACATGAAGGTAAGTGCAACGTATTCTTGTTTGTTAGGTTTTATTCTTGGCAATCCCGTTTGACAAAACTCTTTTCAGTTGTATTTTTTTCGCACTTTTATTTCAGTGAGGCTATGGGTTTATTAGATGCGAATCCAAACCCGAATCGAACCATGCAGAGAAGTTTGTGATGTTAATGCATTCAAAATTGCATGTCCGTCGTTGCTCGCTCGAGCCAGGGCTGGCTTGCTCGCTCGAGCCAAGGAATGTGCGCTCGAGCCAAGGATTGCGTCCATACAAAAACCTGAAAAAGTGTATTCCTCGCTCGAGCCAAGGATCCGTCGCTCGAGCCAAGGCACTAGTAGAAATCATGAAAAATACACTCCTCGCTCGAGCCAGAAAATCTTCGCTCGAGCGAGCCTCAGAATCCGGATTTCTCAAGGAGTTTGTTTTCTTCCCAATCTAGGATTACTTTTGGTTCTCTATAAATACTTGGTTTTCTCCCAAAACTAAGGGATTGATTGAAGTCCTCCAGATCTTCTTTTTGGTTCTTAAGGTTTATATCTGGGGATATTTTGTTTGTTTTCTTTGATGTTGTTATTGAGTCTTCAACTCATGATTTAAAGAGAGTACATCAAAGGTTTGTTTGTTATAAACAAAAGAGAGAGTTATTCTTCAGTTGTGGATTCTGAAGAATTCGAGCCTGAAGCTTTGGTGGAATCCGGAGTGGCTCATCAGAAAGACAATTCCGTGGTGAAGATGGGGTTGGAAGAGGCACATAGAGGTTGGTTCAATTAGGCGTTGTGTATTCGCTAGGTAATTGAGAGTATACCTGTGTAATTCCTTTAAATCTTCTTAGTGGATTGTTCTTGTGGCTGTTGCCCGTGGTTTTTTGATCACAGTTGGAGGTGTCCAATTGTGGTTTTTTCCACGTTAAATCGTTGTGTCTCTTTGTCTTGATTGTTTGATTGGGATTGTTATATTCTGCTTAAAATTGATACATAATCACAAATCAACATCTAGGGGATTTCTAGATTTTTCATTGTTGTTTGTAGTATTCCTCTTGTACTTGTAAGCTTGTATGTAATTGTTCATATGATTTTATGCACGTAATGTAGGATATTGGGGATAAATGGAATCAACTTCCCGAAGAAGAAAAAAATAAGTATATACAAATGGGAAAGCTGCAATCTGAACGATATGCCGAATTAAAAACTGTGGTCCAACAAAAGCCTCCAAAAGTAAAAATTCAAACCCGGATTAAGCTTACATCGATTTGTAAGATTATTAGAAGGCTGGACAAAGCACAACAACAAGCAGTGACTAATATGGGGTTTCATGGCATCCTAAGCCTTAGGTGCACGCACATAGATCATGACTTGTGCCATTGGTTTGTTCAGAACTTTGATCCTTCAACTCATTCATTGAATGTCCACAGTCTTCGAATGCTTCTCACCGTAGAAGATGTTCATGAGTTGATGGGATTACCTTCCAATGGTCTACCTGTGAAGTTAACAGAGTCCGTAGATGAAATTACAAACCTTTGTGATGAACTTGCGGGGAAGAATAAATTTGTTCCGTTCACATCTCTGAAATCTTATCTGATTGAAACAAAAGATGCTGGAACTGAATTTAAAAGGGAATTTGTCTTATACATCATTGGAGCCCTCTTGTGCCCCACCACAAAGGCAGGCGTACACCAATCATTCATTCAAATGGTTAAAAATGTTGAGTCCATCAGTCAATTCAATTGGGCAAAGCACACACTTGATTTTCTTGTCGACTGCATTGCTATTACCAAGGTCAAAGAGCGGTCTGCTATGTGCGGCTGTTTGCTTCTTCTAATGGTACCTCCCCTTGATGTGTAATTATTTCATCTATTATTTTTTATTGCATATTGTCTAACACACATTAAAATGACTTCTTTTTTTTTTCCCATGTAGTTATTTTACTTGGAACAATTTGCTCGCAAAAGGGAGTTGGTGGCTACTTCCAACCCCATTCCTCGATTATCCTATTGGGGCAATTCAGAAATTAAGCAGGGTTTGAATCAAATTAAAGCTTTGGGAGGATATTTAAATGTTGAGGTAAATATTTACAACACACGACTTTTTATAATTATAGCTCAATTTACATTACACCTGTGACATTAACAAATTATTGTATATGTGTGAACAGGTGGTTTTGCCTAACATTGTTCAAAAGTCAAATGCAGTAACTCTTAACCAAGGAAGAATTGAAAACGATGATGACTCTCGATTGGCTAAAGTTGAGAAACAAGCCATTGAAATTCATGCCCTTTTGGTCCAAGGCCACAAGGACACAAGGCAAGATGAGGATGAGAAACGTCTAACCAAAGTGGAGAATCAAGTTGGAAAAATTCTTGAGCTGTTAGAAAAAGACATGCCAATTGCTGGAGAACAAGTTAAAACACCACCAAGCAAACTACTTGCGGAGCAAAGACTGGTCAAAATGGAGAACCAAGTTGGTCAAATTCTTGAGTTGTTAGAATGACGCATTCCATTTGATGGTGGACATGTTAAAACACTACCAAGCAAACTACATGAGGAGCATCGAATTGATATTGAAATGGTTGGTCTCGATGTTAGCAGTATCGAAAAGGTTGCAGCCAATTTCCCGAAGTTTGTAGATGAGGATGAGATAAGGAATATGAATGACAAAGAACCAATGGAAACTTTACGTTTGAGAAAAACAAAATAAATCCTCACACCACCAAATGCAAAGGCAGTTGCAAAGAAACGAGCCAAATTGGTTGGTGGGAAAGCATTAAATAATGAATGACTTTTTATTCCACAAGAAGGGCGATCGCGTGTTAAAAAGAGCGATACAAAGGCAGTTGAAGTGAATGCTGTAACAATGTCATCATCATGTAGTGTTGTTCGTGGTCCTCAGACACGAGGGACCCAGAATTGCAAAGCCAGTCAGTGGTTGCGTACACCTTTTGTGAAATTCGATGTAATGAAGAAAAGACCACAGTTGAAGCCATTGTCAAACAACAACAACGTTGACAATAATATTCATGACAATCTCGATCAAGTAAACTAAATGATTGTGTCTCAAAAACATATTTGATTTGTGTGTAACAAATAGTGTTTGTTTCTTACTTTTCTTTTATTTGTATCAGCTATTTGATAATTTACTTGATCAACTTAGGGGTAATGTTGTTCCTAAAACCCCAAAGGTTTGGAACTAACTATTATAGAATCTTTTGTATATCTGGTTATTTTGCGCTAACTCCATCTTCATGAACATACACTAACCAAGCTTGATTTTTTTTATGCACTATTCTTCTCAATACCTTTACAAGTCATCCGTGCCTTTGCCAGACCCATTAAATGACTATGACAGTCTCGTTCTACGATATGCATTTGATGAATCTCTTTCAGAAGGGTACAATTTGACTACCTTTAACTTGTTATGTATAAAGTACTATACCTTCTAACTCACATAGTTATCCATGTGCTAGGGAATATCTTGTACGGATGAAACTGCACTACGTGGAAGCACAATCTGCAACGCGGAAGGAATTGTGGTCCTTGAAACCATATTAGTGGATATCCTCATGTGTAAGACTTTTCTCCTTCTCCTATTTTATTTGCTACCATTCCATCATCCAAGTTACTTTACTTTGCCTATTCATAAATTTCATATATTTTGCACTGCAGATTATAAATCTCATTGTTGTGAAATTGACAAATAAACAAAGGAAAAAGTTTCCAAATAAGGATCACATGGTTTGATACTTTCCGACCCATGTATCGGTAAGTATTAGCCATACCTAAAGACTTTTTTCATTTAGGCACAAGTTATTTATATGTTAAAATTGAATATGCAACAAAAGATTTTGTGTCAACCTTCTGATGACACAATGAAAGATATAGTAGAAGATTATTTTGGAATTTACAGATACACTAGCCCCCTACATGCTTGTGAGGAGGTAACATGATAAAATACTACTATTACCCAATTTCCAAATTTACCATGCACAATAACATTTGATCCATGTTATGTATTTATTTATTTTTTGCATGTACATTCAACGTTATATTTTTAGATTTACATGCCCTTCAACCATAGGGAAAACCACTGGTTGTGCTTGAATGTAAACATGGAAAAACGGGTTGCCTATTTATTCGACTCTAGCAGATGTATTGACACCGATGAGGATCAAAAAAATCAAGCTACATTATTGGTAATAGAATAACCATTATGATACCACTTGTATCCACTTTTTTGTTTCTTGATCTATGTACCTTACTACCTACCACCAACAGGTACAATCATTGCATAAGCTGCTTCAATATGCGCGTGGAGAAGACTATGTTCAAGATGTTAGTTCGTTTGCATTTCAATGGTTGGAAGACATGCCACGCCAAGACAACAGGTAATACATTACATTATCGTTCTTAATTTTTAAATAAGCATTAATGTTATAATCTCTAAGTTCGTTGACTCTATTGTTACAACTACACTCATTCCTATAGCTATGATTGTGGTCTTTTCATCATCAAATATATGCAAGGGAAACCTTTGCCTTCGGGTGTAATCAAGGTACTTACATTTATACCCAACTGTCCACTTATCAGTATCTTATGTTTTATGAAGACTAATTTTATAATGTGTGATGTTTTTACGTACTCACTACTTTTGGCATGTAGTTTGACTATTTGCATAGGGCTCGCTTGTTACTTGATCTTGTGATATACAAGCATAATTCAACTGATATTGTTGCTGATATCACGCAATATAAAGCTGGTTATGCTCTATTCTTTTTTATTTTTCATAAGTTCATACAATCAATGACGTAATCGTATTTCTTAAACTTGTGAACTTTGAGTTTATAACTTAACCTTTGTTATAAAATTATATTCTCAAGTGTGTTATCTTGTGCAGAACTCAGAGCTAGGGGTGAATTGAAATGGAAGTAAAGGCCATACGACTTTTGTGATCTTGAAATAAGGAAAGATAGTGGATAAGGTTGTGGGAGCGAACAAAGACGAGTTGCTACCATTGAAATAGGAGCTCATTCGAATGGAATAGATTCCTTTTTTCATCCTTTCATCTCCCATCACCCTCTCTATGAATAGCACGTTAACTTTACTGAATAGCATATATATTGGCTAACATGGGCTGGAAATTAGATTTTGTTAGTGAGACCTATGGTGGTATGTTTGTTTTGAAATACTTAAACTAGCATGAGTTTTGCAGATCTTATTGATGTTTGGAATGGATGGAGGCATTATCAATACATCATTACCAACTTCATACTGACTTTGTTGGTCATTTTATTAAGATAGTGCCAACCACTATTTATAGGATAAAAGAGTTGTGCTTGTATTGACCATTTTCTTCATTAAGACATGTTTATTGCTTTACCGGTTAGTGGAATGCCAACGTTTGGTATTCCTTTTCAAGATGGTGGCATTGGTTTTGACTATCGCCTGCATATGGCCATAGCAGATAAATGGTTGATTTTGACCATAAAATCAATTGGATAGATTTTGACCATAAATGGTTGATTTTGACCATAAAATCAATTTGATAGATTTTGACCATAAATGGTTGATTTTGACCATAAAATCAATTTGATAGATTTTGACCATAAATGGTTGATTTTGACCATAAAATCAATTTGATAGATTTTGACCATAAATGGTTGATTTTGACCATAAAATCAATTTGATAGATTTTGACCATAAATGGTTGATTTTGACCATAAAATCAATTTGATAGATTTTGACCATAAATGGTTGATTTTGACCATAAAATCAATTTGATAGATTTTGACCATAAATGGTTGATTTTGACCATAAAATCAATTTGATAGATTTTGACCATAAATGGTTGATTTTGACCATAAAATCAATTTGATAGATTTTGACCATAAATGGTTGATTTTGACCATAAAATCAATTTGATAGATTTTGACCATAAATGGTTGATTTTGACCATAAAATCAATTTGATAGATTTTGACCATAAATGGTTGATTTTGACCATAAAATCAATTTGATAGATTTTGACCATAAATGGTTGATTTTGACCATAAAATCAATTTGATAGATTTTGACCATAAATGGTTGATTTTGACCATAAAATCAATTTGATAGATTTTGACCATAAATGGTTGATTTTGACCATAAAATCAATTTGATAGATTTTGACCATAAATGGTTGATTTTGACCATAAAATCAATTTGATAGATTTTGACCATAAATGGTTGATTTTGACCATAAAATCAATTTGATAGATTTTGACCATAAATGGTTGATTTTGACCATAAAATCAATTTGATAGATTTTGACCATAAATGGTTGATTTTGACCATAAAATCAATTTGATAGATTTTGACCATAAATGGTTGATTTTGACCATAAAATCAATTTGATAGATTTTGACCATAAATTTATAATTTTATTTTAATTTGATCCAATTAATTATAATTTTTAATTTGTTTTGATAGAAAATGAATACATCTATCATGTTTTTATAATAAAAAATGAAATTTATTCAACTTAGGTGGGAGATGGTTGTTTGCGTGGGTGAATAAAGTTGGGCATTGCACCAAAACACTGTCCAAGCCTCCACCACCACCCCACTGAGAAAAACTCCAAGGCATCATGTGATGGCATTGGTCACAATCTTGGCCTAAAAAAGGGCTTCTGTCTGTCCATCCAAAGCACAAAAAAAGAAGATGAAAGAAATAAAGAAAAGAAAGAGGGCCTGCCACCTTTCTCTATCCTTTTCATTGCTGTAAAATAAGGCCACTTTCTAAACATTTAGTAATTCTTCACTTCACTTTACATATCATCAATGTAGGATAGAAGGCAAAAATTATTCAGTAGCCACTTTGTGGCATTACCATAATGGTTGTGGTGGCTAAAATGACAGTTTGGCCATTTTCACGAGAATATTTTATGGGAAAAAACGATTGAATAATGGCATTCAATTTTCTATATGCACTTGCTGTTGTGCATTTGCTTCGAAAATGAGCAAAAACACTAAACAAAATGGCTTTATAGCCTTTGCTAGTGCAACTGTGGTCTAAAATTTATATTAAAACCTTACACATATATACATCTTAAAGAATTCATCCATCAACGATATTAAAACCACACACATATATACATCTTGAAGTGTCTTTTGATGAACCTGGACAGAAGATCAACAATATTGAAAAGCGAGTTACTACTGCAAGGTAGTGTAGGATTTCTTACAACCTCGTTTGGTGAATGATAATTCCTTACAAAATCAGTCATGCATTATTTTCCATCTCTTCCCGTAACAAAATTCTTTCTTCAAGAAAAAAAAGAAGTGTGCATACAAAATATGAACTTCCATACAGCAAAACAAATATCCATCAACCATCATTTAAGAGTATTTATACAAAATACTAACAGATTTAAGTCCTCAAAATTTTTTTTTTAAAAAAATCTTAGTTTAGCTTAGCTCTCAATATCACCCCTCGTTGAGTGTCATTTTCCATGAATCTGATATAACCGCTACAACATACACCTGCAAAAACAAATTATATATTGAATATCCGTGTTTAAGGTTTGTTTTCCTTTCATAAATCTATGGATCAAATCATAACAAAAATAGATTTTGGTATATTTTTGGTCATTACTAACTCTTTTGTCAATTTTTTGTTCGTAATATTATTTTATTTTCCTAATCATGTTGTAAACATTCATAATTACTTAACATGACAGTATCACAAGTTCTAGCTAAGAATCTATCTGGCATATCAAGCTAATTAGATATTAAGCAGTTAAGCACATAAAATTTGCAAAGCATAATGTTACAGAAAAAATGAAATCATAGGATTTGACTGAAAAGATGCATATTAAGTAATCATCCTAGAGATGTATCTGCATCAGGAGACGCTGTAACTTTGGACGACTTTGTGCATTTCGCATCTATGCAATGTTATTAACATCCTTGCTCCAACTGCTCTTGGATAGATTGTATCCACTTAATGAACAAGTCGTCTTCTTTCACCAGGGTTTGGGTCTTACCATGGGCTCAATTAATTCCGGGAACGCTGTCGGTGTAAAAGTGGTGGTAGTACCTTCAATTTTAGATCATTGATATGCCAGTCGTATTTTCCTCAAAACAATATCTGCTAATCATACATATTGGATATCCTCTGTTTTAATTTGTTATTCGTTTTGGGTGGGTGCCAAGTATTTCTTCCGCATGTTGGAGGAGCCGAGACGCACACCTCCTTTACATTCTAACGTAAATCGCTCAATTTCATTAAAGAGAACAAAATCAATGCCAATATCTACCTCAGCACATTAACAAATAAAGACACATAAGCACAATATAATTGATTATCCTGGCATTACATTGGCATATCGCCTTGGCTTTTGAGGTTTAGCGCATGTAGGATCTCCCCATGTATTCTCCTGGATCTTTCGTGTTTCACACTGTTCGATTCCCCAAACACCATTTTTTATTTGTCTTCTTTGTTATTTTATTTTCTTCTTGTGTTTTATTTGATCATTACCATATGTCTCTTTAGACTATGGTTTGGATTCATTTATTCATTTTGGATATTTATGTCTCTGTTCATATTTTGGTGTTTATCATTTTTATTATGATTTTTGATTTGTGTTTTTAATTTCATGTATTTACCGTAATGTTTTCGATATTGTCTGTATGCGTTTCTTAGCGGATTTTGTTTGATCGCTTCGGATTGGCTAATAAAGAAAGGTATGTAAAACCGCGACTTTTTGTTCCGTCTACTATTATCTCTATAGTCCACATAATGTCTCTATTGACGACTCGTTGCCCTATATGTACGTTTTTCATTGCTCAACTTTTTTGTTTGCTAATGGAGACTCTCTGTTATAGTGTGTTCGAGTTGTTTTCGATCTTTACCGTTAATATTGCGTTTCAAGAAATGTATGTTATAACCTCCTTTGTGTATTTATCACTTATTTACTGCTCTTCTATCTGTGCATTTATGGAGACTGATTTATCCAGTAGGTAAATTTGTGTTTGTTCGATGTGTTATCGAACTACTGTAATGCGCAAGAATTGGTATCTTGTAAACCATTCCACATTTACATATCTGCCACTGTTGACAGATGTGAGAATCCGTATTAGGTTTCGAGTGTTCGACTCAAGTTAATGCGGCTAATTAAATTAGTTATTTTAAACCTCCTGTATTTTACATATCTTCACTTTTGTGCATGGAGAATCTGGACTTGTATAGGTTTGTTGGTTTTTTTTTTTTTTTTTTTTATTTGTACCGTTCGAATTCCGTAATGCTGTTCAGAAATTGGTATGTGAGAAACTCACGTATTTTTTTAATCTATATCTGTCCACTGTTGCAGTTTTTAGATCCGTATATTCTCGTAGTTCCGATTATTGTTTCGATACTCATAATGCGCACAAATGTTGTTATTAACTTCCTTGTATTTTATACTATATCTGTCCTCTATCTTTGTGTTAGGAAATTTCCGTTATATAGTGTGTTTTGAGTGTGTTCGATACCGTAATGCGCAGAAATGTATGTAAACCCCTAAGGATATTTACATATCTTGTTGCCACTGTGTCTATTGCGAGATTCCTGTATATTGGTTGTTTCGCGTGTTTTCAGAAGCATCCGTATTTTGCGCAAGCAAATTGTTATGTATATATTCTCCCTCTATGTATTTTACAATCTTGCCTACTGTGGGCAGGAGACCCGTTATATTTGGTGTTCGGGTGTTCGATTGTTACCGTATAATGCGCTTATGAAATGGTATGTATAATTTTCGCTCGAATATAACTATTTATTGCATCTGTTGCAGGATAGAATCCGTGATAGTGTTTTCGATTTGTGTATTCGAAACTTGTATATGCGCTATAGAAATGTGATGTAAACTCCGCTGTATTTACATTATCTGTCCCATCTTTTTGTGCGTCGAGACTCGTATAGTGTTCGATTATTTATTTT